TAATGGCTTTAGCCTCACTGTTTTTAAGGAATTTGTGATGAATTATTATTTTTTAAATTTTCTTTTTGAGATGTAAAATGTCCTGATCAATTCTAGTTTATAAGTTTTGGGGGAGATTTAGTGTGTGTGTGTGTGTGTGTGTGTGTGTGTGTGTGTGTGTGTGTATAGTAGTAGTAGTAGTAGTAGTAGCAGTAGCAGTAGTAGGTGATCATCTTTGGCCTTGGTTTTTAACAAGAATTTTGAAAGTTTGTTACAATTAGCAAACTTCTCTTCCAGTTTTTATTCAGTTTTCCTTTATTCCCTTTGGAACTAGTGGACATGACCCAATTATTTTTTGAGAATTCATTTCACAGAACAGTGTGTTAAAATATTTTTATTCTTCTAAGCAAGTTCAATGCAAGAACTGGCAGGCATCCATAGCTTCAATTCTTTAACATGCAAATAATTCTATTCCTTGGTTAAAATATTGGCTCCATTATTATGCTTACTGGTTCTGGGGTAGCAGGATATGATCTGAAAAACATAGCTGCTTTATACATAAAATAAATATTTTTTCTCTTTCAGCATTTTATCTTGATTTTGTTAGTCATATAACTCTCTCTTTGAAGTATATAATAGTATGGTAAGAGTATAGTAGAAGAAGAATACCATATATATTAGATATTAAGTTTATTGTTGAATAATATTTAAATTATTACAAAATTCAACATGACTTTTTGCAACATCAGAATTTCTTTTTTTTAAAAAATATATTTTATTAATTTTTTTACAGAGAGAAAGGGAGAGAGATAGAGAGCCAGAAACATCGATGAGAGAGAAACATCAGTCAGCTGCCTCCTGCACACCCCCCACTGGGGATGTGCCCACAACCCAGGTACATGTCCTCCACCAGAATCAAACCTGGGACCTCCCAGTCCGAAGGCCGACGCTCTATCCACTGAGCCAAACTGGTCTCGGCAGAGAATTTCTTAATAAAAAAGTTGATCCAGTACCTTCACTTGTTTGATTTCGTATGCCATGTGAGTTTTAGTAAATTGACATTTATTTTGAAAATACATTATGGCTAAGTTATGGCTGAGAGATAAAATATGTGTAGTAGATTAACTCAATTTTTACCTTGAAAGTATTATAGAGACGAACATTGAGAACCATACGTACTAGTAATGTTAGATGTTTGTTAAAATGTTCTAGGTGTTTAAAGTATAATACAGTTGTTATTTTCCTATATTTGATTAGAAAAAAACCGGTAATTTGTGGGGGAATAGAATGGAAAAGAAAGAGAAAGGATGAGCGGGGTTGAGGCGGATGGGGCATATTAGGTTCAGAGACCTGCCATAGCAGAGCACCACAGACTGAGTGGCTTAAAACAACAGAAATGTATTCTCTCCTAGTTCTGGAGATAAGAAGTCTGAAATGAAGGTGCTGGCAGGGCCATGCTCTCTCTGAAGGCTCTCGAGGAAGATCCTTCCTTGCCTCTTGCTTCCTTCTGGTGGTTATCCATGATCCTTGGCTTGTAGACACATAATTCTAATCTCTGCCTCCGTTGTTACATGTTATTCTTCTTCTGTATCTCTGTGTCCACATTTCCCTCTCCTTTTAAGGACAACAGTCATTTTGGATTTAGAGTTAGTAGGGCCCACCCTAATCCAGTAGGACCTCATCTTAACTTGATTACATCTGCAAAGACCCTGTTCCTAAATAAGGCCAAATTCACTGATTTAGGACAGATGTAAATTATGGGGAGACACTATTCAACCCAGTACAGAGGGCTCTAAAATTAATTTATATTTTGAGATTTAAACCAACACACTTTATATAAAAGCAAACAGGTAAGATACAGCTTATGTAAAAAGCATTTTCATTTGCAATTATATTTACATACATGCTTCCCCTAGGTAACTAGTATTTTTTTTTTAAAGCATTTTTTAAAATTTGATTTGAGAGAGAGAGGAAAGGGGGGGGGAGAGAGAAAGAGAGAAAGAGAGAGAGAGAGAGAGAGAGAGAGAAGAGAGAGAGAGAAACACCCATGGGAGAGACAAACATCAACTGATTGACTCCTGCATGCATCCTAATCAGAGACCGAACTCGAAACCTGGGTATGTGCCCTGATGGAATGGAACCTGAGACCTTTCCATGCACGAGACAACACTCCAGCCAACCAAGCCACACCCACACTGGCCAGGGCTCTAGTGTTTTCCATTTATGTAGCAGAGATTGCATTAAAGGAATATTTGGTTATGAAATATCTATTTATATAGATGTGGAACCAGAAGACTTTTCACACAGCTCAATATTTATAGAACCAAGCTAGACTTTTCTTGAGTGTTTTAACTGCTGTTAGAATAATACTTTTGTTCTTATTTATTTTAAATCTGTAACACTTAACGTTGCCTGATGCTGATTTACTGAATGAAGAATGGATTAATAAAAGAATGGTGTGTGTGTGTGTGTTTCCATTGAGGGGTTGTCAATAGAGGCAGGATTTGGTGAGTTTTCATTTAGTAAATGAATTCTCCTTAGTCCTTTAAAAAAACCCAATTGATGGCATTCTTCACACACTATTCTATACTTTGCTTTTATTATAGTATGCTATTCTGTATCAGTATACAAATGCTATAATTGCATAATATTCCATTGCACAGATATATTATAATTTAACTAGTCTTCCTTTTTTATTTTTAATTGTGATAAATACACATAACATAAAACATACCATCTTAACCATTTTTAGGTGTATGGTTCAGTAGTGTTAAATATATTCACATTATATAACCAATCTCTAGAAATTTTTAATATTGCAAAATCAAAACTATATTAAATTAAACAACAACTTCCCATTTCTCCCTCCTGGAAACCACCATTCTTTCCATTTCTATACATCTTAGTCTCCCTTCCTAGTTGTTTTTATCTTTGCTCTTAAAAACAATGCTGCTATAGCCTTAGATATGTGTCATTTTGCATGAGTAAGTATTTCTGTAAGATAAATCCCTAGAAGTGAAATTGCTGGGTAAAAAAGATTTTCACGTTTCTTAGTTTTGATATATTGCCAAATTGACTTTCAAAATTATTGCACCAATTTATATTCCCCCAGCAATGTATGATATAGTAGCTGTTTAAATATGTTGCAGTAAAATTAGGATGTCAGTCAAACTGAATAGGGAACTTGGGAAAGGATGGGTACTGTGGAAGGAAGTTAGTGCTGCTGCATTGTGCAGGACCCTGGGCTCTCCTACTGTTCTCCCTCTACTCTACCTCGTTCCTTACGGATTACTTAACATCCCATGATGCAGTGTCCATACCGCATTCATTTTAAAAATGTGCCCAGCCGGTGGACCAGTGGTTAGAGCATCGGCCTGAGGACCGAAGGGTCGAGGGATCAGGGTTCAATTCCCGTTGCAGGTTCCCTAGCCCCGATAAGGGCTCCTGAGAGAGGCAACCAATCAATGTGTCTCTCTCACATTGATATTTCTCTCTTTCTCTCTCTCCCTTCCTCTTCCTCCCTCCCTTCCACTCTCTCTAGAAATCAATTTAAAAAAATCCTCAAGTGAGGCTTAAAAATAAATAAATAAATAATAAAATGAAAACTTTTCCACACAGTGTAAGCTATTTGAGTATTAGTATTAATATCTAATAGAGTGATTGGAACACCTCACTTTGCAAGTGGGAATCACAATGTAGATGGTAGGGGCAAAAGTAGGTTTACAGATGTGAGCATGTAAAACAAAGAGTTTATTCTTGTATTATTATTTATTCATTATTATATTGTTTTCTTTACAAACAACTGTACCCCTACCCCCCCCCCCCCCGTATTTTCAACCCAGCCGAAAATTCCCTTAATTTAAAATTTTAAGAGATCTGAAATGAATGGATGCCTTGCTTAAAGAAAATATTTTTAATAGAAAGAAAAAATTAGCAGAACCCCTTTCTCATGAGCTCTTCTGAAGAGCTCCCTCTGTTGTGAGGAGCTTAGTTGTAGTGGAGTGACAGTGAAGAGGGGTGGGGAGGAGGGAGGCTGGAGGAGGTGAAGCAGGTTTCCTCATCCCTATCATCCCTATTTCATCCGGAACGATGACCTACAGGTGGCTCGGCTTCTTTCCTTGTAGCCGTGAGTGAAATGAGCGAATACTAATGTATAACCAGCCTCTGATAGTTCATGTCGCAAGCTTCTTGGTAGGATACTAATGTTTGAAACTGGTGCTCAATTTCATTCTTTTCTGTGAAGTAAATTGACTGTAAAACGAGGCATAACCTCATGGAGATACCACTGCTTTTCCTTAGAGTATACACATAGGTTTTGGCTCAATGACTTTTTATCTGGAGATTTTTTAATAAATGTAACATCTTTATTTTCTTATTTTAAGATGAAAATACTTAACATATTTTTGTAATATTTGCACATATTATTCTAAAGCAGAATTTGAAGGACTCTGGGATTCACTTCCTAATGATGATCAGTATTAATAGTTTGGGATTTATCCCCTTAGGCTTTTTTCAATGTATTTACAACATATAAATGTTATTTCTTCTTTAAAAACGTGTAATCATACTATATACACTGTTTTATGATTTTTCTCTGTTTATTTGATAACAAGTCCTTTTTGGGTTAGGGTATAGAAATACCCTCCATTCTTTTAATGGATTTATACTCTTCCATTATATCATAATTTTCCTAGCCATTCTTCTATTGGTGAACATATAAGTTGCATTAAACATACTTTATGCATATCTTTGCCTATGTGGACAAATGTTTCTGTAGGATAAATTTTAAGAAGTAGGACTTCTAGATCAAAGAGTCTGACCATTTTATATTTTAATGGATGTTTTGGGGCTCTGCAAAGTGTTATATCAATGTCCTGATTTTTATAGGAAATAAAGTTCTGAAGTTGCAGAAGTTTTAGCTAAGTGTTGTATATATCATTATTAATATATACCAGTTTTTCTAATAGAAGGTTTCTAATAATGTAAAAATCTTTAAAATGACAGCTTGTTTATTCTTACAGTGATGGAGTGGGGGGACGATATTAAAGCAGTTATGGAAGACGAAGCAGTAATGCTGGTGAATCATCAGGCAACAGGAGATGTGTGTACTCTGATGATGTGCCTCCAGGACAAAGGGCTGGTAAGCCATCCTGATGGCGGAAGTAGACAGCAGAAAGGGGAGGTTAACAGAACCGATTCAAGTACCTTATGGTTTGGAACATAGACTTTAATATGTATATTTTTTCTGAAAATTTAGAAAAACTTAAAAAGAAAAATATGTAATTCGGAGTTACTGCAGAAGAGGAATTTAGAGACTTAAAAAAAAATGATGGGGATAATGTGAATTATATCTCCATAAAGCTGTTTTGCTAACAAAGTTAGTATGGTTTAAATTGGGGGCTGTCTTGAGGTGAAGTGGTAGATTGCCAATTTGAGAAATACAGACACCAAAAGCAGTATTGCTTAAGATAGAAGAGTAAAGGTGGTCAGTGAATTTGGGGATCTTTAGCCAAAGGAAAAGAAGGCAAATACTATTTTGGATTTCATTTGTAAAGCATATTGAAAGGAAAATATCAGACTCATTTAATGTTGCTAAGGCTCTGTTTGAACTGTTGATTTACGTTGCTTCTATTGATAACTAAAAGAGATGTATATACTGGGTGGGCTTAAAATAAATTGTCTTTAGCAAGAAAGGAATTATCACCTTAGGAGAAGTTAATGAGGTTCTATTCTTAGAAAACGAAATAAGTAGGAAGTATATAAAGTTAATGGAGCTAATATTTGGCCTAATAATAAATAAACAAATTAGTAGGTATTTACTGAGTGCTTCGTATTCATGGTCAGTGACTATAAATATAGAATACCATCCTATGAGACACTCTCCAACTCTTAAAGGAATTAATAGGCCAGTGGTAGGTGGAGGGAGGGTATGGCAAGCAATACATAAGTGCACAATGAAAAGCATTCAGTGGCAGGTGAGCTCACAAGTACTGGATGGATATAGAAAACTGTGGAGGGAAGAGGACATAAACTTGACCTTGAAGAAGGAGAATTTTGTAAGGCAAAGTAATGAAACAAGGGCCTTGTTCTTTAGGGAGTCTTGGCCAAAATACCAAGGCTAGAATAAAACTGGTGTGCTTAGATCCTAGAGATTTTGATTCAGTAGGTCAGGGGTCAGAAAATGAGGTGAGAGTCAAAGAAAATATGTTTTATTATTGTCGAGTCTGTTTTTCTTGTTTATATGAAAAGCAGAGGTATTATCTTGCTGGAATTCGGTTCTTTCTTCAATTCACAATCTTGACTTGTTAAAAAACTATCCTGTATAGGTATGTTTGTACTCCTAGTAATATTTATTGCCTGTCTCCTAAATTCATAATGTTAAAATTTTGTAAAAATTAGTTTATTTGGCTTTGTATCAAGAACCCCCAATTCCTATTTTTATTCTTACTGATGATAATTACACTTATAGTGGTTATTCAGTGTCCTTAATTAGTTTTGAATCTCAAAAAATGATTCAAATGGTCCGTATAAATATGCCTAACATTATTACTCTAACTCCAGTTTGACATAGATAACTGTATTAACCAGACATAGTTCATCTGAAATTCACCAATAATGTGGACAAAAGAAAGTTTTCTTTGTAAAAAGATTTCAGTTAGTTTGTCTTAGGTTCCTTTTTCTGTTCAGAGTAATTTTGTTTTTGTTTTCTGACATAAAAACGTTTTTTATGATCTGATATTATTGAACAATTTGAAATCTTAAAGCATTTTAAAATCTTCTTTCATAAAGGAGTAATTGAGACATACAGAGCAGGGAGTATTATAATCTTTACTTATTGCCTAATAAGTTAGGGCAGTATTAATTTATATTTACAAGTAGGATTGTTTACTTGATTTATTTCATAATCCATGGTGCATTCAAAAGAAAGGACTCTCAACACTTAGAGAGTTCTCTACTAGACTATAATCAGGTTTCTTCTATTCAACATTTAATTATTTCTTGTTTTTAAATATTTTAGGTTGTTGCTCAGATGATGTGGTTGATGGATCATATTTTTAAGTACACAAACTTTGGAATTGTTTCTCTAATTCATGGAGACTTCTTTATAAGACAGGTAAGTAATGAGCTTTCCCCCGCACAGTGATAGCCTGATCACACTGATTCTTTATTGTATAGAAAGGCATAACAAAACCAATTACAGCAGGTAAAGTCAGGGGCGTTCCTCTGACTCTTTATTCCCTAATCATTTATTTCAGTCTGAGCCTGAGGACGCCTGAGCATTTAAGTGCTGATACTGTAAACATTCTAATCTCTACCATCCTTCTCCCATCTAAACAGTACAACATTCAATAAGTACCTGTCAAGCACCTGCCATAGTCTCAGCTCCTCTACTTGGTAGTTATGTGAATTGGGCAAGTTATTTAAACTCTCAGTTTCCTCATTTTTCAAATGGGAATAATAGGTACTCCCCTCACAGGGTTGTTGTGGGGATTAAATGAGGTAGTACCTGTGAAGCACTCAGCACAGTGCCCGCTACCTTTGTCATCATATTTGTCATGATCACCACTATCATCATGTATATTATCACTGTTATTTTTATTTGCACGTCACTGTTATATGAGGTATGTAAATTAGCAGTAGAGAAATTATTAAATAAGAGGAAATATTTTGAGAATTCATAGTCGGAAAAGTGAGTACATCAAATTTCTGTGAATCCAGAAAAACTTTAGAGGAAAAGATGATATTTGGTATATATATAGAGAATGAGTATGGGTTTGATAAAAGAAGGTGGGTTGGGATTGAACCCCAAGCATTAGGAATAATTTAGTGTGTAGGAAAAAGTATCACGGCCTCTTATCAAGTCAGCACTACATTAGAATATTTCCCTGCTATGCTACTAGTTTCACACACTTTACTTTCTCAGAAATGGGCAACTGAAATATGCAGGCATTTTTATGTATGGCAATGCCACACTTAGCTGGTGTTTATATATTTGGCAAATTAAAACAGGATTGTGCAGTACCTTACACATAATAAGTATTTAATGAATAACTAATGAATCTAATTAAACCTTTCCTAAGAACCACAAATTGAAAATAAGCTGGAAGTATGTAAGAAAATTCTAAGCTCTATGAAAATAGGTGTCATAAAACACATATTCTTCAGATAGTTTTATGTACAGAACACGTTTTTGTTTTTCACATGCTATGCAATTATCTAGTTTCTTCTGGAAACACCCTTGGTTCTTCTGAGCAGAGATGAACAGACATATGCTCTGGAACCTCAGGGAGAATTGGAAGTGGGGATTGGCCACAAGGTTGAGACAAAATAAATGGTGACCAGAACAACAAAGAAACTAGCCTAATATTTCAGAGTATCTGAACAAGTGAAGCACAACAGTGTAGAGGAATCCAGAGAAAAAACTACCTGAGCCCTTTGCATCATGGGAGTCTAAGGAAATTATTGAATTTATAGTGTAGTGTGGTATAATAAGTGACCCTAATATGATTCTCAGTTATCAAAAAGAGGCTAATTTATACTAAATTATTGGTGTACTCTGAGAGGATAAAAGTAGAAAGTACTGCACTCTAAAGCATTTTTATTGTACTTAGACTATTTCAAATATTAGAGAGATTTGCAAATTCTTTTAGATAGTAACAAAATCTATAATATGGAAGGAGGGGAGAGGGAAAAATATTAATGGTAAAGAAAATCTTGTGGGACTTTGCTACTAGATGATTTTGACAAGTTATTTCCAAGAATATTAAAAATATTCTACAAGTAGACTTGGGAACTTACATACATGAAGCTTAATCATAATTCAATTCAGTAAATTAGCTAAGAAAATGTCTTACTTGTTTTGCATTTGGAATAATTTAAAGACTGAAAGCTTACAGATTATTTTAGGGAGCTTCTGTAATTGTGTTGGCTGGAAAATTATTAGTGAATTGATTATACTGGAAGGAAGAACCTTTGTAATATTTAGTTGTGGATTTTGGGACTTTCTAAAAAATTTTCTGGATTCCTCT